ACAGGTATTTTCTCCTGTCTTTTGTCTAGAATACCTGCTCAGCTATGGAGTACAAATGCCTCACAGCTCTGTTGTCCCTCCTATTTTCTAGCACTCCAGAAGAACTGTCATTTCTTGTAGAAGAACTAAAGAAAGATACAGCTTCCGGCATGACTGTGACATTTCAGGGATCCCAAATTTCCAGCTTATTCGCTGTCTCAGACCTCAGCATCCATCTCTCACTCCGGTGCTCCAGCGTTTGTGGGTACCAAGAGAGAGGTTGTCTGCTCAATGACTTAGACAGTGACTGAGAGTAATTTAGGAGATGGCTGCAAATGGGGAGACCATGGTCTCACATTACCATGCTGGTAGATGACCAATATAGGACAAAGCAGTGGGGCATCTATGTCCATGGTTCAGCCATTAGACATGGGCCAGGCCCTTGATGTTGGGCTGATGGAGCAGATTGAGAGCATGGGACCAAAAACCTGCTGTCCCTCTCCTGCATTCACCTCTCCAAGGGCTGGGTGATGGCCTTGATGGAGCAAAAAACACTCACTTCAGTTAAAGTGGAGTCGTGTATCTCCTGTGGATTGCATGGGGGAATCTTGCCCATTACAGCTCTTCCTCAGTATAAAAGGGCACGGAGTCATGTTTTGTAATTTGAGTTATTCACTGGGACCTGGTCCCTTCATTGACTTGTCCTCCACGGAGGAATCCACCACAGTAAATTATGTGCTTATAGAAATCAGAAATGGCATAAAATATGTATTATAAAATATAAATTTATTATAAATTAATTAAATTGTAAATTAAGTTATAGACTCATCCAGGCAGCCCGTACAGGGGTGGTGGAAAGGAACTCACTCTTCCAAGATGCTACCTGGGTCTATGGACCCGAGCTATCTCGGCATCCCTCCTCTTCACCTAAAATAATGATACCATGAACAGAAAATGCTCTTCTCCCCCTGGACGGGTTTCTGACCAGAGGAGGGAACAGCAGCATCGCAGACTGCCTGGCCCAGGAGCAGGGAGTCCCAGTGCTGGCAGCCAACTATTACAACCAGTAAGGGGAAGGAGCACATTTTTGGCATCAGAAGAGGCTAATGGGTTTCAGTTTTGGCAGTTCCATCTCACTTTGACCCCTTCAAGGTGAGAAGAGCCTTCTCCGAGTGCATATGCTAGGATTTTCTCAAGTTTCTTGTAGGTTTTTCTGTGAAGAAATGAACAATAACTGTAGTGAGGAAATCCTATTCTCTGAGTTGTGCTTCTCAAGTTCAATCAGCTTGGTTTGAGCACTCATACGGTTGTAGGAAAGGGACTGTGAACATATATGATTCAGATTTTTCTGGGCACAGAACAGACTAAATCTATTTAATGGAGAGAACTGTGGGAAAAAAAATACCAGGCAATGGAAAAAATATATTCACATTTTTCAAATTAATTTCAAGCATTTTTCAAGTGAAATTTTCTATTTTTTTCTTGATGAGGAAGGTAAAAGGGAAAAAATAATCTCCCCCTTTAAAAACGTGAGCCCAATTCACGCATCCTCCTTCCAGCTCTGTACACGACTTATGAGCCAGTGCCAGATTCGTTCTGACCTCCTTCCTTCCCCATAAGCCCTGCAGTGGTGGCTACTGCAGACTCCTTGCTGTGGTACAGGGGAGCTCTTGATTCTCTGTGTTTTAGTTCATGCAATGGAGGATGCATGACTCTCTCCTGAGACAGATTAGCTCAGACTTTCTTCACTCGGGTGCTGCTTCCTCCTTCCTTGGTGCTGGTTTAGCAAGCAGGGCATTGTGTAAAGGGTGACTGATTTCCATCCACCCTCCATGAGGCAGCGAGGTGGTTGAGGGAATGCCAGTATGCAATGTTTCTTCTTGTTTCCCTGTGCCATCTTTTGCTGGTAAGGCGCCTTACAAGCATGGAAACTAGGATTTAGTTTCCACGGATTTTATTTTTCCACTGTGTGACATATAAGTATTTCAGCTCCTGGCAGAAGGAACACTTTTGCTGCTTTGGGGGAATGTGCCCGTGCTGTAGTTGTGCTCGGGTAATCCCATGGTCATGCCTCAGTCTGTCAGAGCAGTCGTGTGGATGAAATTCGGTCTGGACTCTGAAGATGAGGAGCCTGAATTTATTTTTCGTGTGACTTGTTGGATGAAAAAGTGCCAAAACAGTAGCCTGAAAGCATGGAAAAAAATGGTAAGCTGGGGTTTACCTCCTTGGCTCTAGCCCTCCCATTACCACAAGATGAAAAGGACAGGGCTGAGGGTCAGCAAACAAGGCTTGCGCAAGATCTTTATGGTGATGCAAGCAGTGAATGTGTTTTTCAGAGCTAAGCACCCTGAACTGTGTCTGATCCTGTGCAAAGCTACCTAAACACATTTTTAGAAGCAATGGCCAGTTTTGTTTCCTGCTAACCCAGAGTGACTGTGGTGCCAACACCCCCCGCCCCAATGAAGTTGTGAGTCCTGGTCTACTACGGATGCACCAAATATTCCAGTTTGTTAATTAAAGTCAAGAAGCAGCATACTCTTTATAACAGAGGGAATGCCTGACCGCATTTGACAAAGCAGCTGGAGAAGGCAGCTACAACTGAACGCTCTCAAATCCTACAGCATAAAATCTGAATCTGCTAAGGCAATCCTTGGACAGAAATTGTTTTTCTCCACAGGTGTTGCTGTTTCACAACATCCTCTGCACTGGCACAACTCCTCTTTAAGCCTTTACCTCTGCTCTTTGATCCCGCACCTTCTTCAGATGAGCAGTGGCAGCCAGGGAGGAGACAGCATCACAGGTTTCCTGATGAAGCAGAGCACAAGTGACAGGCACCTGGCTGCAGATGAGGCTGCCCGCCACCATTGTGCCATGCTAGGGACACTGTCACCCCTGTTGTCAGATAGCCCATTGATGGACAGTGCGGATAAGGTATTTTGTGGTTCACTTTTCTTATTGCCACAGAATACGTCGAAACAGTTCAGTACTGAAGCCATTCAGATGGTCCTTCCGTGCTTAGAGATGCCTTAATTTTTTGTCTCAACATCCCTTCTCGTGGGGGACATATAGGGCGATAAAAGTCTAAAGAGGAGGAAAAATACCTCACTGAATTATTGAATCAAGTGCAAAATGTGTTTTCCTCTCAGTCTGGCCTGATATTAAATTTTAATCTGCAATGTTTCTCTTGTAGTTTGTTTTCAGGAAGATTTTGAAGGGAAAAAAAATGTCTACTGAATAGTATCCTTTTATGCTCTTAAAACTCCAGACTTTGCCAGAGAATAGACAGCTGATGCCATGTGTGCAAGATTTGTGTGAGAGGAGGTCTTCCTCCACAATTCTCTGGAACATATCCTCTGGGGCTGCTGGTGGAGATGCCATTTTGTTCTGACCATTTCTGCCACCAGACCAGATCTGCCTTCATTAACGGATAACCAAATCAAACAAAACCTCCAACCTTTCACTTAAGAGGCTGCGGCAAACCATGTTAAGGTCACAACAGCCTGGAAAGTTGAATGACTTTGCAGCTAACAGTTTTACAGTAAGTTAATAAGGAAGCTATTTTGCTGGCTTCAATGCACACAAGTTACAAGATGTATGGAGAAGTGTTTTGTACTTTTTTTCTCTAAATTTTTGAATTAATTTCTCGTGTACTTACATTTGTATGACTGTTGATGTATTGATTCATTGACATGTTGCTCACAGATAAGAATAAACAGTGTTTTTCTACCTGCAGTACAGGGAAGGAAGGTTCTGTAGAACTTCATCTCTTCTCCAAGCCAGCACCATTGGTGCAAGGAGCCAGGAACTCAGGTAAGGAAAAGATGTAATACCTGTTCTCTTGGTTCACTGGCACACCTGCTGATTTCTCTGTTTTCAGTTTTACCATATTTGGGGTTTGATTATAGTTAAATCTCTCTGAAAGGCTTGTTCATGGATGAATTATTATGTAAAATGTACTCTAAGTTCTCACTACAACTGCTGCATGAATATTTACTGCCTTTCTTTACTAAGGGATGAAGCAATATTTTGACTTGACAAAATTTAATTTTTCTCAGCAGTGTAAAAAAATCATAATAACATGTGGCTAAGCCCGTAAAATGTAAAATCAATTGCACATCTCATTTAGAACTTTCAAAACAAAATCTTTTGGAGTATTATTTTAAAATAAATACTTTAATTTAAAAACTTCCTATTGGATTTTGGTTTATTGAAGCAAAACAAAATGACAATATTCTACCATAGCAGCCTATCAAATTTAGTGTTGATTCAACCTCATGATGAGGGGGAGAAATCTTTTGCATTTTTCAGTGAATAAATAGTTTGTCTGGAAAACATATTTCTAGTTTACTAAGCATTCTTCCTAAGGACTACCTAGAACATTCTGCTTCATCAAATAAAGTTTGATTGACCACTGGAGTGAGAAAGAGGCTAGTTGTTCTGTCTTCTGCTGTTGGTAGAAAATTCAGATGAGCTTTTAAACAGTTTAAACAGGCTAGTCAAATCTAAGAACAACAAAAAGCCGAAGGAAGGATTTGCTGTGTCAAAAATGCTTATGTGAAGCAGATTTATATTACAGGGTAATATAAAAGGCTGCTTACTCTTAAGGTCTTTTGTGTTTCACATGTTTTGTAGGAAGACCTGTCTCATTCTTATACCTAGAAAATTACTTTTGAGAATACCTCTAAGCAGTGAAGAGCAATAGCAGGTCTTTTTCACATTCAAAATTATTTAAAAGCGATTTCTTAAACTGAAATGATGTGCAGTCATGATTAGTACCCCTGATAAATAAGTGACCAAAAAAAGCCATTGTGACTTCTGGTCCTTACCGTATTAGCTACACTACTGATAAATGTTTATCATGCATTTCCAGGTACGCTGCTTAGCAACTTTGTATCATGAAGTAGATTTATAGAGTCTACAAATTAGAAGAGATATATCTCTCTAAGGATACAGTCAAAACTGTAAGCGATAGTTTCTTGAGCTTTTGTTACCTGCCCGTGTGCTGTAGATGGACACCTTCACTGTGGACGAGATGATGTTAATGCACCTGATTCTGCTGAGCTCGGCGATCGGGAGCAGCCAGGGCTGCTACTGTGAGCATTACCCTTGGGGGTCATGGTCTGCCTGTTCCCAAACCTGCAATTATGGCACACAGACCAGGCACAGGTAGGGCCAAACTGTCTCACTAATCATATGTTTGTATTTATTCCCTAAGAAAATACCGCTTCTGGAGAGGGAGATCTTTGTCGGAAGCTCCACCTTCTGTAATATACTGAGAAAAAATTTCACATCCAGGTGTTTACCAGGTGAATAGATCTGATTGCAAGACCTAAAAATTACAAAATTATGTATGCAGAGCATTACAGTGCCTCAAAACAAACATGTATCTGGTACCACATGTAGAGATCAGAGAAAAGCCAGGTCCCATGATGGCCCTTCTAGCAGCACGTGTTGAGCAACCAGCTCCTTGGAGCACACGGCCGGTGCGCAGTGCCCTGCTCTGGGGTCTTTGAGCAATTGCTCAGTGCAGAGTGGGAGGGGCGAGCTCCATCATGGCAAGCCTACAGAAAGTTCCTCCCCATGTGTTTTATGACAACAGTTAAAGTCAAATAAAAATTCATCAGCACCAAATCAGATGCAAATCACTGGTATACTCCAAACTTGTAAGAAATCCACTCTTTTCATCCCAGCTCTTTCAGTAGCTGTTCTCTGAGACTTTTGAAGTGACTTAGATAAAAACAGAACTGCTTTGTAAACTTAAGGCACATTTGGATTCTTCTTTTAATCAATATTCTGCAACATGTTATCTCTCAAGTTTTTTCATTTGGTTCATTATTAAAGAAATAATTTTCTTTATGCACCTTCACCTGCAGTTGGAGACCATCTATGATCTGTCTATAAGTCTTTCCCAGCATAATTGGTTAATTTTTTTTAGGCAAATAAGAATGGATGAATATTATAACCAAAACTTCTGTGACCAGCTGTGCACAAAGAAGGAATCTCGTGCATGTAACCAGCAAACATGTACTATCAACTGTCAGCTTGGAGACTTTGGTCCTTGGTCTGAATGTGACCCATGCATTAAAAAACAAGTAGGTAGAAAATACATTATATGTGTTAAATGCACCAAACTCTGCATAAGAGATCTCTTTGTTTCAGACATTCAACTTCATGGCAATTCATCTGCAAAATGATAATTTAAGGGGATTTTGTTATGGATTATAAAAGTCCCAGATGGAAAGAACAAGTTAAAACAAGCAAACCAGACCAGAAAGGGGTGATTTAGCATAAATCCATCTATGAGAATTTGCTTCAAAAATTCTATTGTTGCAATTAAAGATGAGTTTCCCATAAATTAAGCTGTAGAGTTTGCTGGTCTGTTTAAGCAGGAGCACAGCAGTTAACCAGTGAATCCTAACCTCACTGGCTAGAAATGCTCAGGCTGTATCTTACATTGATAGTCAGGACCAGTTTGAGATTGCTGTTATGAAATCCAGAGCACCACTTCCCTGACCTTTATAAGCTACTCAAAAAACAGGTGGATGTAGTTAGTATCAGTGCAACAAAGCCCTGTGATTGTGTTTTTTCATCTCAGGCTTGAGTTTGTTGAGATGGTGGAGAGTGAAGAGGTGAAAAGTCAGGTCCAAGTGGATTTGACATAAAGAAATCAAGCCCCGGGAAACATAAGGCTGTGGGGAGTGGAGTGCAGATTGTTTGGGGTAGTTATGTGGCCGGTGGCTCTGAGCTTTGAGGCTGCCCATAACAGCAGCTCTGAGTGTCCGTGTAGACACAGCCTATAGCTCTGTGAATATCCTGCTCAGCTTCAGGAATCCATGCCTGAAAAGTAGGCTCAAAAAAACTCTCAGGTATCTTAGATACTTCTTTAAACACATACATAATGTTCTGATGTCCATGAAGGAGGAGTAAGAGGCTAAGAAGCTGTTCTTGGTGTGAGATGTGAATCATTCCGTGGGGTTCCCATCCTGCAACTGGGAGGGAGGGCGTGAAAGCAGAGCAGGGAGAAACAGTAAGAGAGAGACGGCAAAAAAGCTGCAAGAGATGAAAGGGAGTATTGCCATCAACTGAACTGATTTCTTTTTGATCAATATCCTCTCAAGTGGATGAGTTTCTTAGCTACGCACCCATACATAGAAGTGTTGTTCATTTTTATTAACTTTAAATATTGGTGCAACATGTTTGCTGCTCCAAGCAAAAAGGTGCTTTTGTGGACTGAGATCCATTTTTCCATCTAAGCTATGAAGATCACTACTTGTGACCTTTATAAATGTAAACTACCATCAGAACGGAGGCTGTGACTTCCAAGGTAAGCGTGAAGACTAGTGTAAGCAAGCTTCCAGCGAGAGGGAGGGATGAAGAGGTGGAAGCTTGTACAAATAATACAGTGAGTATTATAGATCCCAAATGAAGTACAAGGAAGTGTTGTCTTGACACCAAAAGCTTTCAGATGGTCTTGTGTTGCTTCTCACACTCTCCCTTCATAGTTACTTGGTTACTGATACTTGCTAGACATCTTCCTTCACTGTTTGACTTCAGAGTCTGCCTGCCTGGAGGGAAGTAATGGAAATTTGCAAGGAGTTGTGTTTTTCCAGTGGGGAAAAATTCTTAGAGGAGGAACTGTTCAGACACATGCAGACAGGTCTTATGGGCAATCACTTGAAGTGGTGTGGAAAACGCATCTGAAGTCATTTCTCTAGCAACATTCAGCTTTGTTGTTCTGCATGGAGGGTACTGACTTAGGGAAAAATGAGCTCCAAATTTTGCTCCCATATCTTCTTTGGTAATAGAAACTTTCAGGAAAACCATTTACGCCCTCTCCAGTCATCCAGCACTCCTCAGACAAAAGGCCTCATGTGTGGAAGCCAAGCCAACTGGTTTGGTGATGGGGGTAGATGCCACTAGTTTTATCATCAATAGTGATGATAAAGCACATGAAAAATATCTGTAAGCTTGTTCACATGCCATTTCCTACTGTACCTTTAAAACTGAAGGTACAGGGACTGAAATTTTGATTCTGACAGTAGTGTAGTCCAGGCTGCCAAGAGTTTAATTATATATGCTCTACCAGGGCTATTGAGGCTCTTGGATTTCAGTTCCCTGCCTGCCTTATCTGGGATAACGACGCAGTAAGGAAAAAGGACAAAAATAACTGATTATTTCTTTCAAGGCTTGGGTTTTGGTAAAGCTTCAGCAGCACTGAGACGTGTGTCTGCCTGGAGGGACACTTAATGACAAAAACAGCTCAGACAAACAATCCTGGCTTTATTTCTCCTGCCTTTCAGTTTCGTGTCCGGACGCTCCTGCGACCATCCCAGTTTGGGGGTCAGGCCTGTACCGAGCCACTGGTGGATTCCCGCCCGTGCTTCCCAGCTAAGCTCTGCAACATAGTGGAAATGGATTGCAAGAATAAATTTCAGTGTAAAAGTGGTAATGATAATCTTCATTGTGTAAACTGCTGCATTATTAGATAGTAAAAAGATTAGATGGTGAGACAAAGAAGGTCCAGAAGATGCAGATTTTGCATATTCCATGCACAAATTCCAGGGAAAAGGAGCAGGGAGAAAAAATTACCTATGGATTTCATACATACTAGTAGCAGCTTATTTTTGCCATTTCTTCTGTAACTAAAAGTAATTTAAGTGCAGTATCTAGCCTGGCCTGCCAGTATGACCACAATAGCTAGACAGTAGCACTTTTCCAATTAATGTTCTTTGCTCGAATTTTTTGTGCACAAACACATCGGTAGATTTTGTCTGAACATGAACTCATGCTATCTTTATTAAATTTGTGTGTATTTCTTGTTTGCTCCAATTTAAGTATATCTGATTAGCCTCAGAATACCTTTATCCACACATCCTTTCGCTAAACCTCAAATTAAGACTTTGCAGCTTCAAAGCAAGGCAAAACTGGCAGAACTGAAACAACTGTTTCTTATTGTAATAATATAGGTAGTATGGTACCTTGCGGTTAATTCCTATGGCAATTCCTACATTCCTCTTTACTAGAGAAAAAGACAGACTGTCTTTTCTTGCATTCAGATATGTTGAATCTTAGCATGAAGTTTCTTGCTGCATCTGTTTCTCCGGTGCAGGTCGCTGTATTGCAAAAAAATTGGAATGTAATGGAGAAAATGACTGTGGGGACAACTCTGATGAAAGGAATTGTGGGAGGAAAAAGACCGTATGCAACAGAAAGTATGAGAGCATCCCAGGTGTGCAGTTGATTGGCAATGGGTAAGCCATTTTTGCTTATAAACTTAATATTATCCCACTAATTTACATAAACAAAGTAATCTCCAATTAGCATGTGAGGGTATCCCATTAAAACACATAATCTCTCAAATTAAAATTAACAAGAAATTATAAAAATGCAACCAAACCATCAGGCAAGGACTTGCCCAGTGCATCTGTCAGTCCTGCTCTGAAATACTGATGCATTACATAAAGAGATGCCAAGGAGAACTGCTGCCTGAGTGGTCCTATTTCTTCACAGCACCCAGAGTATCACATACTGGCAACTTCCAGCTCAGCTGGGCCAAGTGCTTCAGAAATTTGGAAGATGTTCCTCTACAGATGTTTGTCTTTCTATGACACATTTCACACAATATCAACCATCACCTCCAGGCTACCAATTTAAGCAGTGTTAAACCTAAACATGGGATGCCTGTCCCAGGTAGTCTCGCATTTTTGAGTTGGGCTCAGTGTGCTCTGGTCTGGCAGAAATGGACAACTGCTTGTTCATTTTCCTAGGCCATCTTTAGACATTTCTCTGCTTAAGAGCAACTATCTCGTGATGACGTTGGGATTATCTAGAAGGTTAGACACTGCTGGAGATTAGGAAACAGGGTTGCTACTGCAGCATTCTTCAGGTGAGTTCAATGTGGATAAGAAGGTCTTGTAGAGGAACTTCTTTCAAAGTAGTAATGTAACTCAGATGCTCATACCATTTCATTTAAACCTACGAAATACCTAGTGCTGCTATATAGCACTAAAGGTTTTAAGTCTGCATGTCTTTCTGAGATTGTTTCGTCTCTGGAAATAATTCTTTTGTTAGATTTCACATTCTGGCAGGAGAAAGCCGAGGGGAAGTCCTGGGCAACTCCTTCAATGGAGGACAATGCACAACGGTGAAGCGCAATGAGACAAGAAAATCATACCGTGTTCCTGCGAACTTGAAGGGTGTCAGCTTTCAGGTATTCTCAAGCAGCAAACCCTTGCTGGAAAAAAAAACAAAAAAAGGTTGCCAAAATCATGATCGAACCTGTGCACTCAAGTCTTAGCCATCAATGTGTGTTTTAGGAGAAGATTTCTCAACCTTGTGTGGCCTGAACATGCTTTAGGTGATGTGTGGACTGAGCAGTTGAGTGGCTCTACTCACGCATTTCATATCTGTGCTCACTCACTGCATGATATATCAGAGTCAACATGACTGATTTGTGCTTCTCTCCTGCTTTCACATGACTTTGGCCATGTCTTTGTTCAGACTTGATACCAGAGGCCTTGCTCCTAACCCCGATGTGATCTGGCCAGAGGCTCATTCAAGTCCAAAGCTCATTTCAGTGCCACTACTGTACCCTTGCACCCTTGCAGTACCAACAGCTGTCCATGGACAGGTGAAGCAAAAGCTGTGCATGCAAGAAAAACAAAACAAGGAATTTGTTCACCACTTCCCATGGGCAGGCAGCTATTCAGCCATCTCAGGGAAGATAGGGCTCTGTAACATGTAATGGTTATCTGGGAAGAAAAATGCCATCACTCCGAACATCCCCATTTCCTTCTTCCCAAGTTTTATAGGCTGAATGTGATGTCATATGGTCTGGTATATCCCTTTTGCCAATTGGGGTCAGCTGTCCCGGCTGTGTACCTTCCCAATTTCTTTTGCACTCCAAGACTACTCACTGTTGGGGTGGGGTGAAAAGCAGAGATGTGCTGCATAAGCACATCTCTAATAATCTGGCATGTTTCCTTCATAAAAAAAAGGAAGAATTTATTGTTTAATAAGTTTCTGTTTCAGATTATTATTTGGGCAAATATGTTTTGCTTTAACATATCTCCAGGTAATAGATGAAGAGGATGATGTAACATCAGACTTCTACAATGATTTAACTCCTCTAAGTGACTGTGCTCAGCAAAGTAGTTCGTCCACTCACAGCAGTCGAGGATCTTCTGGTATACCATATTTATTCTCAAGAAAGACACGAGTTAAAGTCACATCATCTTCCTCTTTCAGGAAAGCCATTGAAGCCTCATATGAAAAGGTAATTGAATGTCGCCTCCAGTTTTTTCCTTTCAACTGATTCCAGTCTACTCATTTCCAAACTGAGCTAACAAAGGCTACTTTCCGTCTCAATGCATTGGCATTATATTTTTTAAAAAACAACACACACAAAGCAGAAAAAAACAAACCAAAACAAAACCAAAAAAAAACCCCACTAGAATTGCTTGTCTTCTGTTACTACAGGATGTTCCAGGTTGTAACATACCTTCTGTAATGCAACATAATTTTCTGCTTTTAGTACAGAAATCATAGGCTTATTCCACTTCAAAAAGCGTAGATTTGCCACAGATTTGAGATTATCAGATCAGGTAAACCACTTCTTTCCCTCTCCTAGCTATAGATTAAGAAGGCAGAATGCCATGTAGTAGCAATGGCAGAAAACTCTAAGAAGAAATGAAGTATACTCGGGAATGTTATACATATACATGTCTTGGGAATTAATCTACACTAGACTTTTGCCAAGATGTTATGATCCTAGAAATAACACATCCACAGAAAACTTTCTGAGAACAGAAAATACTTTTCCCATAAAATTCTACACCTTTAATGCAGATGAATACTGTGGGATAAAAGATTATGTTTTTTTTATAGTTTAATGGAAATAAAGAATGAGTTATTGTTTGCACTTCTGCATGAAAGATGCCATGGGACTGACCGAAACCAAGGCCTGTTGAAACCCAGGAATTCTAATACGATTACAATGAATCTTTTACAAAAATAACGGTCTTAATATTACATTTTCTTATCATGAAAGCTTACTGCAAACCTTGCTAACTTGTCCCAATAGTTAAGTAACTTTACTGCTTAAATAGTTCATCACTTCTAGTTTGAATTCATCTATATTGAAGTTTTAGCTACTGGAACCCATTCTTCTTTCATTCACATCTGTACACAGATCAGGCTGTTCTTTTGTACAACTTATGTTTATTTTGGTGGAATGGTGGCTTCTTATTGGCTTAAACACAGACCAAAGCTACTTATGGAAATGTTAATTTTAATGAAACTTTCATTAGGAAAGTGTTTTAAATCTATATTGTTTTTCAGCTTTGCTGTCATGAAATCTCAGAAACACATATGAAATAGCCAGTAACAGTCTGTTGTTGGCTAAAGATGAAATGGGTTAAAATCCTCTCAGTGAATCACAGCAGGAGTGTTAACTTGACTCTTCGTCATATTCTTTACTGTATCATAAACGAGTAGCAAATAACAAGCAATAGGACAAGAGGAAACAGGCTCAAGTTGCACCAGGAGAGTTTAGATTGAATATTAGGAAACGTTTCTTCACCGAGAGGGTTGTCAAGCATTGGAACAGCCTGCCCAGGGAAGTCGTTGAGTCACGATACTTGGGATATATCTTAAAGAAATATAGATGTGGCAGGACATGGTTTAGTGGTGGACCTGGCAGTGCTAGGTTAGCAGTTGTACTCAATACTCTTAATGGTCTTTTCCAACCTTAAAAGATTACATGATTCTATAAATTTTATACGTGTGCTTGTAGACAGATGTATTCTTGTGTATGAGAGACCTGTAAATGAATTTGGAATACTTTCTTAAAAAGTGAAACGAGAATTTTATATAGATCACTTATAAGGGAGAATTTACATGGGCTTTGGGAGGTCAGATTCAGACCTACATATTAAACTGTCTGCAGAAAGGTTTCACATGAACATCCCAGGCCTCTGGAGGGCCCTAGCCACTGGAAAGCCTTCTCCTCATCTATTGTTTCCAGTTCACCATCATGTTTACCAGCAGGGATACGTTTTCTTTGATCTTCCTTTCCTGGCTGGCATACCTGTAGAAGCCCTGCTTATTATTCTTTACATCCCTTGCTGAGTTCAGCTCCAGCCATGTCTTGGCCTTCCTGACCTGCAAAGTCGGGCAGTGTCCCTGTGCTTTTCCCAGGATACCTGTCCCTGCTTCCACCACCTGTGCAGTTCCTTCTTGCCCTCTACTTTGTCCAGGAGGTTTCAATCTGGCCTTGCTGATGTCTTGCCTTTCTTGCCTGATTTCTTACACCTAGGGATCAAGACTTCTTGCAGTCTGTGGAAAATGTCCTTAAAGGTCATCCTTATGACCTCTCTGATGTCTTCTGCTTACATCATGGTGAGCATCTAGTGTGGGATTCAGTTTACATAGACATAGATCCTCCATAGGGATCTGCACCTCAGCTATTGATGAAGAGAAATTGATGGGTTTCTACATAAATTTCTGTGAATTGAATAGTACACTAGTAGGGCTGTAGAGGCAGCTGAGGTCACTCTTCTCTATATCAAATGTAAAGAAAAATTCTTAAAGTGAGACTGGAATATTATGTAACACATTTCTTTATAAACTGCTAATCTTGCCCATCCTACTCCATGTTGTTGTTCTTGTTTACTGGGGGTTTTTTTTCACTTTTTTTGACACTGAATACCCATGCTGTGATGTCTAAGGACTTCTGAAGGCTTTGTGTCAGAATTTGTGCCCATTCCCTTAGGCTGTGTTCCTAATATTTCCAGCAGCAGTTAATTGAGTTTCACTGCTTGAACTACAATTCAAAAACTGAGAACTCAAATATACGAAGGGGTCTCCATCCATGAACCTGTCAGACAGGGTCACACACAATTCTGTGCCAACACTGCTTCTGATGTATAGGATGAAATATTACTTAATCACCATGTTCGTCTGGAACTCTGCTTTGTTAGCAAACTTCCAATTAAAACTCCTGATTTCAACATTAGTCCAGCTCAGCCTGTGTTCGGCTACTTTTTGTCAGTTAAGTAGTTTGCATAAGAAAACTGAACCTGAGTACTTATGGTTTATTTAGATTAAGTTTTCTTTGGGAATGATCATCCCTGATCTACTAAAATTTTATATTAATACCTGATACTCATGGGTCAAGCTTGCTACAGGTACAGGTTTATGACTATGATTAAGCATGTGCCTAGCAATGACTGAAGACTTTGAAATCCAATTTCCTGTGATTGTTCTAAAAGTGAAGGTTTCCAACATCGTGCATGCCTCTGTAATTTAAAATAGAAATCACTCAGTTTGACACCTGTGAGGTAAATTGCTAGGAATAAAAGTACTTAAGATACTTTTGCTAGCAGAAAATGCAAATGAGAGATGCATGAAAGCAGAAATTCATATTTAGTATGCGTGTACATGCTAAAACTAACTAAGGTTTTAGAATCAGAATTTGCAAAGTGGCCAGCAATGTTGTGTGTCATAAGTGTTAGTTGGCACAGCCAAAAATTTAATATTAGAACGTAAATCACTGGAAAATCCTGAAAACAATGTTTCCACTGGATATTTTAGAAGCTGCATATAGTCTGTAGATTGTAACATACTCCATTTCTTCCCATCTTGTTCTCACTATAGCAAAAAGCAGAGTATCTTTAGCTTATTTTCCAGTGTGCAAACGAGAGCGCTGAAATGAGCAGTGCTGTGCAGAACTAGGAGCTGAGGTCCAGCTTGTGCGTTACTTCGCTCAGTCCTGGCTGGGAGAACTCCCTGTCTAGATCCGTCCTTGTGTCTTCTAAGCCTTGGAGACGGAAGTGGAGCAGAGCCAATCTAGCAGCAGCACAATTAAGCCGGAGATTCCATGTGTAAATCAGTAACAAGTTGTTTTCTAATGCATCTTTCTTATCTGCCAGTTGGTCATTTCCTCCAGTTTCCTGCCCTCGCTTTTGCTCTTGATCTCTGCTTCAGCCTTATGCCAGCAGCTCCCCTTGACCATTCTTCTAGCATTTTCTATTCCTCTGCTTTGTATTTAATGAAAGTCTCACATAAACAATTTCTAGTCTAGCAAAAATATATTAATTAGGTGTTTAAAACCCATCTGTTTTTGCTAAATGTAATTCCAGTGGTGTTTGGAGTGGGGGGGCTTGTGTCGTTGTTTGGGGTTTTTCCTCTCATGTCAACAGTTTGACTCCTGCACTCTTTAACCCTGTGGTTTAGTCTTAGTTTTAGCAGACTGATATATTGTGAAGCTTCATAACAGTGAGATATTACCCAAAACACTCACTCACCAGATCAGTAGCAAACAATGTATGAAAGCGTATAAGCTGAAGCTTTTCATCTAAAATTTTGGTTGCCTTATCAATTGCTGGCATATCTGTTACGGCAGGAATCCTTTCACTTCTTGTTAGGCAGGTGCTCAGGGAGTGCTAATTTTTGTTGGAATGCTATATACAACCACAAGGTAAAGCATAAAGGAGCATTGTCCTCAAGAACCTGACAGCGCTCTTGGAAGCTCCAGGGCTACTTTGTTTATGGTTAAAACAGCATAATACACTGAACTAATTAGTTCTTGCAACGTATCTGAGGACATTGAGTGTGGTGCTGACAACAATGACAACACTGAGGTCGCGGGTTCGATTCCCGCTTGGTCCCCATGTGTTGCCTGGCCTAGTCGAGAGGTGGTGTCCCTGTCCATGACAGGGAGGTTGTACTAGATGATCTCTAAGGTCCCTTCCAACCTGGGCCATTCTATGATTCTATGACATACTCTTGGCTCCTCTATTTTCTGCAATTAAGCACCTATGAAGATGCTAAGACACTTCTTTTTATATTTCTAGAATTCCAAGTTTATTAGAGTCCATAAAATCATTTCTGTTGCAAACTTCACAATGAAGCAGTCAGATCTGCAGATCTCAGATGTCTTTCTAAAAGCGCTTAACCACCTGCCCCTGGAGTACAACTATGCTTTATACAGCAGAATTTTTGATGACTTCGGCACTCATTACTACACCTCTGGGAAGATGGGTGGTTCATATGACATTCTGTACCAGTACAGCTCAGAGGAAATGAAGAACTCAGGTATGTAATCATTAACGAGAAAATATCATGATTTGTTTACCAGATTTTCTTATCACTGTTTTTAGGTCTTACATCACATAATAAGTTCACCAACAGCAAAAAATCCTTTAGACTTGCGACCCACTCGGTGGTATTGTCACAGGGACACCTGCAACGGCTCACCTCAACGTGGGAGCCTGGGGGCGTGGTGCTGTCCTGTAACATGGTTAAGATGGTGAAGCTACTGCTCTGTGGTATTTCTAGGCCTGGCAGTGAAAGAATCACTAGAGTGTGTCCGAACAGAAACAACAAAGCGTGTGTTCTTCCGGAAGAAAAAGAAAGTCAGCACCAGATGCACCACAAACAGGATGACTGTGAAACACGAAGGTGACTATGATGAGAACAGGGCCCATGTCCTGATACTTCCATTAAGAGACACCATTCCCTTCAGCTAGGTACCCCAGGTGGCCTCTCAACTTTGTTGAACTACAGATCCTCTTCCACCATTATCAGAGGAGCCAGGGTCTCACTGTTTGTCTCTGAAGCAAGCTCTGGAAATATCCTCTTAATTCGCAAAAGAAATTATGGTATAGGGGTGCTCTTGCTCTGTTCTGCAGCACCATCATGGGGGATCTGGTGGCACTGGCTCTTCCAGTGAGCCATGGATCTGACAAACATTTCGAAGGCACTGGATCCAGGGCCAGGCATGCTGAACTGGGAAACAGGCACAAGTAGAAATGTATGATCATGACTGAGTCTCTGATCTTTAAGGGCTGCTCAGGGCATCTGAGGGACTGCAGAATGTTGAGGGCATATTCTGTAAGAATGGCAAGAGTCATATTCTGTATCACTAAAAACAGGGATTTCATCACCTCCACCATATTTTTGCCCTCATTTTATGGTCAATTTCCATTACTCAGGTGTTTATAGCTGTGACAAAAGATCCTGCCTTGCATTATGTTCTTCTAGAAAAGCCTGCTATATCCCCTGTATTTTCCAGAAGTGTCTTGTGTGGTTCTGAATGTTGCCATGGCTGAGATCTCAAAAAATTTAACTTTGAAGACTATGACAGAATGATGCCATAGCAAGGATTGTTTTTCTTTGGGGCTAACTTCAAAAATTTAATCTCAATATTTTCATTTATATCCTCTTACACTTTTTTTTTATAACTCTGATCTTATATCTGCTGCCTTTGAAAGTCTTCATCTGCCAATAATGTGATGTTATCCTCCTTCAGGTTCCATTTTGGAGTCAGCTGAACGTTCATTCTCCCTGGTGAAAGGTGGCAGGTCAGAGTATGCAGCAGCTCTGGCCTGGGAGAAAAAGGGGGCTTTTCCAGGCCACGAGGTCTTCACAAACTGGCTGGAATCAACAAAGGACAATCCTGTGGTGATTGACTTTGAGGTGAGAGAACAAGAAAAACATTGACATAGTAAAGCACTCAGCAGTTAGCAGATCTGCAGAGAGCTCTGCAGGTGTTTTGTCCTTTAAATCAGGAGGATGCTGTGTGTGATATGAATGCACATAGGTATGGGTATAACACAAACATACAAAAGATCTGTTAGGACTATTTGTGCATGTCATTTTATAAATCACACCAGGTTTGCACTGTCCACGGACAGTGAGAATAAGAGCGAAGAATAAGGGTGAATAACTCTGGCAGTAGCAGGATCTCAGGCATGGGCAGGGCTTAGTTGTTGTGCAGCAAAGCAGCACATGATACTGGGAACCTTGTCTTTCCTCCTGTGCACACTCCCTTGCCAGGCCTAAGCTGCAAGGTACGGCACATAGTTAAACTGAAATAAAATAGTAGTCCCCTAGTATCTCTGTCCTGCTCTAAAAGAGCATGCAGCATGCCAGCCTCTTAGCAGCAGCAAATTGCTTGAGATGATCAGCAAAACCTGCTTGAAAATAGCATAGAGTAATCTTTCTCAGACTGCAGATGGAGAGCTCCTGCAGGCAGTGTAGGGGTGCCTCATGTGGCAGTGACAGAGTGTGAGCAGACTCCACGTCACCTGTGGTGTCCTGAATTTTTAGACATGATGTCCCACCAGGATGGTTTTCCACTAGCTGAGAGCTCTAAATTGGGGAAATAAAACCAAGATAAACAGGATAAAACAGATGTATAGCACTGTCATGTTCTTTTAAGGTATCCATAGCATTTAGCACTCTAAGCTACTGTGTTGTTGCCAGTGAAAGGGCTGAAATCAGAACTTAATAGCCCTGATGTCCATTAAGCAGGTATTCCTTATTGCAGCGCTGGGCACACAGGGGATAGCTCCACCTAGTGTGTGCCCCGTGAAGGGCTAAACGTATAGCTTATATACAGTTTAGATGTACGTATTCACAGAGTTTCTAAGAACTCATTAACATATGTTGCCGCCCACTCCCACATGTGCAGTACAGTCGTTTGGTGGTCACCAAGGGTCTCCGGTAGTTGTTTTACTTCATTATGGTAGTCTTCATCGAGGTGTCCTGATGGGATCCATTCAATTAACTCCTTGTCTTTGTTAAGAGACCCCAAGGCTGGCCTAGCCTGGTTCTGTGTATCTTAATGGCATTTGGGAGTCCTGGGGCATTCTGTCTTTGAAGATAAGAGCATCCTGTCCTTGAGGATAAGCTCCTGTTGCAGAATACCTATGTCTCACACCTCTGTTCTCGCACTGATTCTGCTTGCTCAAGCATATTAAGTCTCCTACATACCAGCTAAAACTACAGTTCTGGCTATAACCATGGCTCCAGCTAAAACTGGCTTCAGTGTGATATACCTTAATATGCAGGCTCTAGCACCTTTAAAATCCTGCAGCTACCCCCAGGAGGCTCCTACTGTGACCAGGCAACTTCTTACAGATTGGCTCTCTACCAGGTGTCGCCCATCATGGATTTGGTGAAGAATGTACCATGTGCCGTGACAAAACGTCGCAACCTGGAGAGAGCACTGAGAGAATACATGGGCAGGTTCGACCCTTGCCAGTGTGCCCCGTGCCCCAACAATGGCAGGCCTGTTCTTTCTGGGACGGAGTGCCTCTGCCTGTGCCAGGCTGGCACCTATGGCAAAAACTGTGAGACACAAGCTCCAGACTACAAATCAGGTATTTGAGGTGATACTGTGTCGCCGACAGCAAAAAAACCACACAGTTGCTTACTCGCTCCTTCACCTACCTCCATCTCCACAGGGATGTGGAGGGAGAAAATTCAACTAAAAGGCTCAAGGATTGAGATTAAGGACAGGGAGGATAATAATCTACCATTTAAGATGATGAGTACAAACCAGAGTAGACTTGGAGAGAAAATGTAAGTATAATTCACCACCACCATTTACACAGTAGGACAGTGAGTGGAATACATAAATAAATACAACCTGATCTTAAATACATTCCCTACGTCCAAACTTCCCATCATCCCAGCTACCTCCTCCCTGTATTGGTGCAAGGAGGGGCAGGAGGTAGGGCATGCAGTGCCTCTGGCCATTACTCATTGTCCATGGCAGTTCCTTCTTGAGAAAGAGGGCTGCTTCCAGTGTCCCCTTGAAGATGCATGATGTCCACCTCACGAGAGGCAATCCTCTTCCTCCTCATGGGTCCATCCCACACAAGGCCATGGGTCACTTCAGGTGCATCCTCTACTGATGCTCAGTCTTTCTTTGCTCTGGCATGGGGTTCTTCATGTAGCGCCTCAACCCCCACACACCCCTCCCCACACCCAAAAACTCCACCAGACTCAAACCCATGACATACTGTCATAATGTCAATGTGGTCTTTCTGGTATCTGTCAAAGAGGAATCTGACATAATCTTCCCTAACTAAATCCATAGCACTTCTTACCACATGGTGATGGCTCTGTGTCAGGTTGGATGGGGCTGTGAACAAGCTGATCTTGTTGCTGAAACTCCGGTCAATGAAGAACTCTGTAACACTCAATTTAGCATTAGAAAGCAGGCATTTCTTTATTACAGTGCCAGATGAATGGGGAATAGTTCCACCTATCATGCATGCCATATCTGGCACCCGTCCAAGCTTATATCCCCCTGTTACATACATAGACATCAGTTTTCCCCATAAAGATTATACATATTCCTTCTATTTCTAGGAACTAATTATCCTATATACATAGTTATTACACACCCAGCTTGGATCTCTGAAGGGCTTCCCTGGAGGTCTTATACGGTCTCTGGTGATCCCTTGTGGCTGACAGAGAGGTGTCTTTTAGTGAACTTTCCATCTCTTAGCCCATCTCTCTTCTTTGTGGAGTTCTTCTTAACTGGCATCTGTTAGTCTCTTCTAATCTATGGGTTTCTCCATAGGTATGGGTTTCTGCCACAGTTAATAGTCCTTTACGATACAGTTCATAGTCCTTGACTGTCAAGGAGACCATACAACAATTGCCTCCTCTAGGGTGCCAGACACAGTTGTAGAATATGATATGCTTGCTTGCATTACTGCCTGAGGCCCTTTTACACTTTTCTGTCTATGGTATGTAACAATCTAGTTAAAGATGTCCCAGTTCTTTGCAGAGGGCTTGAACTGGATGACCTTTAAAGGTCCTTTCCAACCCCAAACTTTCTATGATTTTATAATCAGAATGTGTATGAATAACAGTAGAAGTAAAAACAAAAAATCAAACTGAATGGTCACAGTTCAAAAGAAATTGTAAGACATGGCAAAAGATTCCCTAGCTACATCATTAAAATAGTTGAAGATCAGCTGTTTAGCAATAAGGATGAAGATGAGATCAAAGATGATTGATGCAAAAATTAAGAAACCCATTCCTTAGTTTTTCTCTGTAGCCTGTTACGCTTAAGAATAAACAACCAATGGAGATAAAAACATGTTGATTACAATGTGGAAGGAAAACACAGTTGTCTTAGAAAGAGGTAACTTAATCATAATTCTGAAGAATTTAAAGAAAATCTTCATGAAAACAGGTTTCTGAATTAAGTTGGCACTAATGCCGTACCTATGGAAACAGAAGAGATAGAAGAGACTGGATTATATTTACTTTCACATATATTTATATTCCAGGAAAAAAAAAGTGACAGACGGGCAAGTCACTTAGGCATCTACGGGTCTCATTACCTGACCCTGGAAAAGAAATATTTCAAGAGAAATCAGTAACTGCAGAAAAGCAGATAGAAGTGAATATAGAAAATATGTTGCATGAAGAAAAGAAGGGGCATGTAAATAAACATTTTTGTACATACTTCATGGTGGCACAGGAGTTAAGAAGAGACAGCAATGATTTAATTTACCTTGCATGAGATGTAGATTTGGAGTTTAGATGTCGCGTTAAAGCTCAGATTTATTCAATAACTCATTAAATACCAAGCTGTCTAAAAAGGTTGTCAGCACCAAAAAACCTCAAATGTCTGTGTGTGCAATAGAAGTAGAAATCAAGCTGCTTTGAGGTTTGAATGTTACTTGCAATCAAAACTGGAAAGGAACATATGTTTTAGAAGGAGCTGGAATTTGGCTGACTATCTCTTTGGAACACTTCACATTCTAGATACAATCAACCTCTTAACAGTAACAATTTTACGTCCTCTGAAAATGGCTGTTGTAAATTTACCACCATCCCTCTTGTATGCTGCCTTAAGAGAAATATTATATATGCTACAGATCTACCAAAAGATGGGACTTTTATTTCTTGCAGTTGCTGTAGATGGCCGCTGGAGTTGCTGGTCTGAATGGAGTTCATGTGACGCTTCCTTCAAAAGAAGGAGGACCCGGGAGTGTAATAACCCCTCCCCAATGAATGGCGGGAAGCCCTGCGAAGGTGAGCGGGAAGAAGAGGAAGACTGTTATGTCTCTGTGTTCACAGACAGGTAAGATAGAATCATAGAATCATAGAACGGCATGGGCTGGAAGGGACCTTAGAGATCATCTAGTCCAACCTCCCTGTCATGGACAGGGACACCACCTCTCAACTAGACCAGGCAACACATGGGGACTGAGCAGGAATCGAACCTGCGGCCTCAGTGTTGTCATTGTTGTCAGCACCGCGGTCAAACCACTGAGCTAACCAGCCCCCTAAGGTGAGAAGATGGTAGATCAAAAGATCTCTGTAGTCATGAGGCAGAGTTAAGGAGTGCTCCACAATGGCTTTGAGACTTTCAAGGAGGAAATAGCAGACAATTCTCCTGTGTCATGTTCTATGGTGGGGCTGAGAAAAGAAAATATCTTAAAATCTTCACAGTTTGCTTCAAGTTTGAATGTATTCATTGTTTATTCCTAGAAAATGGCTGACAAATTACATAATAAATTATATCTGTAGAGGTCTTAATGCTGTTTTGTATGGCTTCTTGCCCAGAGTCATGGATAATTCACCTGCTTCCATTCACAGGAGTTCAGTTTCTAGTTTTTTTAATAACACACCTGCAGCATTCCTGACATTATGCCATTGTTATTTGGTGACACCAATGCTTCAGATACATCCTCACCAGTAAATTTTTACTTTTCAGAGGTGCTCCTTGTATAAATGATGATGAAGCCAGGAAAGAAGAGGATTTCTTGACTGGTGAACCTGAGTCTGGATGCTCCAGGCCAGACCCACCAGAAAATGCCTTTCTCAGGGTGAGCATGAAAAATAAGGAAAGCGTAATAGTTGCAGAGCTGGAAATTTTACAGCTTCTGTGCTACGTGTGTCTGATATCCAAGCTAGTGAACATGTTGCTCTGTATGTGGCATGCTGTGGGACTCTAGTCCAGCGAAGTCCACCAGTAACGAGAGAAAGGCAAGGTAAAGACCATTTCAGTGATCCTTGAATACTTGTTTTGTAACCACGACATCAGTTAGTGCAGCTCGACAAGCATATCATTATATAGGTGAGTGGATGACTTATACTTCAGAGTAGGAAAAGCATACGTTCATTACTTTATATCATGAGGCTTTTATCATTGTTTCTTTTGACAATGTCCAGTGTCATTACCATAATTTTTGAGGGGCTTTTTGGTTTCTTTCTTGTAGAATGAAAAGAACCAGTATGCTGTGGGGGAAGAAGTTGAAATTGCCTGTGTGAGTGGTCATGTTCTCAGCGGCTATCAATTCCTCCGGTGTCTGCCAGATCAAACCTGGATGCAGGAACCTGTTGAATGTCAACGTAAGAAAGGGAAAACTAATTTAGCCCAGCAACAAAACAGAAGTGGAAGGAAAAGGCACAAAATAGATTTTAATACAGGTTTTAACAAAAGAATCTGTAATGAAAGCTGAAAAGAGGATGATTTAAGAAGGTATTTCACGTAGAGCTTGCAAAAAACTACTGAGGCATTACATAATTCCTTTTCAGTTCAAAAGTGTTACTCTTCAGTTACTGTTCAGTTCAGAAGTATTACTATTATGTTCTTTGTCAGGATATTGTAACACTTTAGAAAACCCTCAGATGGATGCTGTGAAGTCCTTCTCTTGTGTAGTTTCAAGTATCTTTAACAGCAGGACTCATCTTTTGTTTCCACACTTACATAGATACCTTTAAGTTGGTGACAGTTACACTGAAGAAAGTGTTCTTGGAGGAATGTGTCTACCGTTTTTTATGTTAAATTGATAATGCGTCTTTAACCAACCCCCTCCAGACTGCCTTGAAAATCCCCACAATAAATCAATTCTTTGACTTATTTACAGTCCTATTAACAATTAAGGATAAGAACTGACCCGAGTTAATTAGTAAGAAATATTCTTGAAGTTTTCTAGAACAGGGTGTGACCTCATTTGTTTACTGTTCACTTTATAATTAAAAAAAAAACAACCTGAATACACTTATGAGGTGTGTATTGCCATTCATTTTAATTGTTTCGTTAATAGATTAATTTACAAAAGAAAAATTAAAATATGGTTTTAATGCCATTCTTATTATTTTTAAACTGCGGAATTAAATTGCTAATATTAGCATACATTAGAAACACCTTGTAATTATTTATTTGTTGGTTGAAAAATATTTTTAAAGACTATGACAGTGCACTGAAAATTTCTAGACTTAACTATGTTAAATATTTATTAGTTTTGAATGTTAGTCAAATGTCAGTGATAGAGAATGTTATAGTGGCTCCTCAGATGAAGCATTACCTGCTGTAAATATCTGCAACCTGTAAAAACATCAAGAATTACACTTTATTCTTGTTTACTACAGCCTCGGTATGCCTCAGGCCACCAACATCTGACAGTGTCACAATCTCCCCCTTTAAGCAACAGTACAACATTGGTGAAAGTATTAAACTGAGCTGCCAAGCTGGGTTTATAGTCACTGGTCAAGAACAGTATACCTGTGGGAAGGATTTGTCCTGGACACCTCCTGTTTTGAGATCTATTACATGTGAAAAAGGTTAGTAAACTTGGATATGCTTTACTGTTTCTATATGGTTATATTAATAGCACAGTTTATTTTAGCTGGCTAGAACTAGGAGGCAGATGACTGGTTTTAGGATACGTAACAACTTTGTGCCTGCCATAGTGCCATATAATTTCGACCCCAAACTTCTGCATTAATTTCAGAATTTTTTCATGCAATGTACTGTACACTTTAATTAGAACATTGAAATACGGAAATTGTTTTCTTAGAAACAAACCAAAACAATCTCCAGATGTATTAACAAGACTTCATGAAAACTAAGTCAAAAAATGCGTGCTATTGAAACTTCAGCTTCTCTTCTTGTACAGGATCTTCCAGTGATTCTTGCAAGAACTGATGGAACCCCAGCCACTTGTGGAACCCCAGCCACAGCAGGTTTTGAAGACACACACATGGATAAACAGAAATAAATCCATTTTAGGTTTAATGTCAGGAGTGTAAAATATTTCTATTTACTTCGCTACTAGTTACAATAATTCCCATTCTTTTATTTCAGATATGCAAACTAAAATTAGAGGTGTTTGCAACCCAGGACAAAAGCAAATTGAATCTCACTGTGTTTGCATGTCTCCAGAAGAAGACTGTGGGTAAGTTCAGTACTTTAATCAGAAAAAGAGAAGTCAAGGTTTCTCCACTAACAGACCAAGAGTCCACTGTGACACAAAACAGGAAGGGTGACAAAAGACACCAGGAATTCAGGGCTGTCCAGCTATGCCTCTATCCAAATTACAGCCTCATTTATAGCCTATGAAATAAATGAACGGTAATATTAACCAGACGACACACGTTACTGCATCCTTCTAATCTAGATTACTATCTGCCACTGGAGACCCCAACTCTTCCTTTTCTTCTCTTTATTCCTCCAACTTCTATATTTTCACTGTCATCAACTTGCGAGGTCATGATTTTTGTGTTTGAGATTCACCTTTTTTCAGATGAACATGCTGCAAAACACATTGTACATTTCAGTCTCCAGAGCATATAAAGATATATAAGACTTGGACTTACTCTCTCTTTACACAACATAACCTGCACAGAACATTGGCCCTTCAAGTGACTAGTGCTCTGAAAACTAGAGAAGTTTTGTTGACTAGAGCTACAACCTTAACTCAGGAACATCAGCAGGGTGAGCTGTATTGCCCCCTCTCTTTGGGAAATGACTGAGCTCCACAAAGTGATGCTGCTTGGAAATACTTGTACTTGTTGAGAATTAATCCACTCAGGAATCCAAGAACAATATGGAAAGAAACTGCAAGCAGCAGGGCTGGGTTTGCCTGCCACAAGTCCCAAACTAGCTGTGCCTCAGAGGCAGACTTGCATGCACAGCTGTAGGACTATGTTAATTCAGACAAGCCAGCCCAGGACTCATGGAAACTTCACATTCCTTGTGGAGGTAGAAGTACCTCCTGTTGTGCAGGCACATGTCCTTCATCTCCAATCTGTTAGATAGGACCAAAATTTCCTAGTCTCACAACACTATTACAGGTCCAGATCCTGCAGTAGCTGGGACAGTCTTAGGACTTTAGACAAACATCCAACCAGGCCATGGCCTTGCTGCATTTCATCTGATGCTGGTGGAGTGTTTAGAAGCATGGACTCAATTCGCAGCCTGCTGAAGTAATCCACAGCCTGCTAAAGTAATATTTCTTTTTTCCTTGGGGCAGCCACTACTCAGAAGACATCTGCGTGCTACATGCTGTTTCTGAACAGAGTGTGACCAGGCCCAGCTGTCAGTATTTGGCTGAAATGTGCCTTGGAGAACAATCATTTCATTTCTTGCATACTGGCCCTTGCCATCATAATTCCGGCCTAGACTGGGCTATTGAAAGGGTAAAACTCTCTACAAATAGCTTGAAGAAAGTGCCTTGTGGCTACGACACCTGCTATGACTGGGAATATTGTTCAGGTATGACTTTTGAACCATGGGATTTATGCAGCCCTTAGGATCTAAAAATAAGATGTACCGACTCCTTAACTGCTTCAGGAATGGGATTTCACAGAATCAGAGAATGTCAGGGGTTGGAAGGAACCTCAAAATATCGTCTAGTCCAACCACCCTGCCAGAGCAGGATCACCTACAGTAGGTCACATAGGTATGTGTTCAGGCAGGTTTTGAATGCCTCCAGAGAAGGAGACTCCATGACCTCTCTGGGCAGCCTGTGCCAGTGCTCTGTCACCCTCACAGTGAAAAAAGTTTTCCTAATGTTTTTGTGGAAACTCCTATACTCTGGATTGCATCTGTTACCTCTCGTCCTGTCATTGGGCGCTGCTGAAAAGAGCCTGGCTCTGTCCTCCTGACACTCCCCCTTGACATATTTATAAACATTTATGAGGTCACCCCTCAGCCTCCTCTTCTCCAAGATAAAGAGACTGAGTTCCTTCAGCCTTTCCTCATAAGGGAGATGTTCCACTCCCTTCATCATCTTTGTGGCTCTGCGCTGGGCTCTCTCAAGCAGTTCCCTGTCTCTCTTGAGCTGAGGGTCCCAGAACTGGACACAATATTCCAGATGTGGCCTCACCAGGGCAGAGTAGAGGGGAAGGAGGACCTCTCGACCCACTAGCTACACCCCTTCTAACAAACCCCAGGATGCCATTGGCCTTCCTGGCCACGAGGGCACATTGCTGGCTCATGGTCATCTTGCTGTCCACCAGAACCCCCAAGTCCCTTTCCCCTAGGCTGCTCTCCAACAGGTCGTTCCCCAACCTATGCTGGCACATGGGTTATTCTTTCCCAGATGCAAGACTCTACACTTGCACTTGTTGTATTTCATTAAATTTCTCCCTGCCCAACTCTCCAACCTGTCCAGGTCTTGCTGAATGGCAGGATTTACAAGCATTGTGGTGTATCTGAGCAATTTACAGCAAGATGAGTATGAAGTCTGGTCAGTTCCATGTCCTTGCTACTGAGTGTAGACTCTTAGATACATGCCTTGTCCCTTAGGCACAAGTGGTGTGGTGTTGCCTCTTCTCTTTAGTAAGGCACTAAAAGAACTTGAAGATTTTTCAGGAGAGTTGACATTTGAATATTTCATCACAAATATGTAGTAGAGAATGTTATGGTCCATTCCCCATGAGGCTACTGTAAGGGTTAATTTGTACTTCAAAAATTAATTTGGATCACACCCTCTATAACATATAATTAAATTATTAAATCTAATTGTGATACTACTTAAAAAGCAAGACTGGAACCATCAGACTTAATTAGATTTAAATGGTAGAATGTACCAATACCCATTGTGAACACTGTGTTTATTAAAGAGTTTTCACGAACTAGCTAAGCTGGTGAAATCCCTAAGAGGATTATTTTATAAAGACTGTTGTGCAACTTGGCTATTTACTGTGTGACTTGGTGATAAGAGCAGTGGGATTTCCTGTAAAGGTCTCAGGTGCTGTCTGGCTTCATGCACATCAAGCGCTTGCCAGGAAAAGGCTAAGTGGCAGCCATGCTCATTCCTTTGCATCTTTCCAGAGACAAATATGATCCTTATCACGCCTTGTCTACTTAGTATAAATAAAGCAACGTCAGTGCACAGAAATCCTAAAACTCTGTTTCGAAGATGCAAGATTTCTGCAGCACAGGATCTGAAGTAGATGACTGTAAATTACCACATGAGATGCTGGTCCTCGTAGGGCCAACACAGAGGACATGACCAGATGTGCGCCTTGAGGGACATGCTAGGATGGAATATCTAGGCACCTTGAGCTCCTGGGTGGGCAGTTATAATTTGAATAATATTTGGTTCATTTATTCCAGAGCCCCTAAGAAGCCTAAATCCACTTGCAGTGTGTAAGTGGCTTAAAGCTGTGTCCTATGGCAGCACTTCTTTTTTTTTCTCAAAAGCCTACAGAGGAGTCCTGTTCAGTGAGAAAAAAATGAGAGGGAGAGGGGAAAAAAAATCAATTAAATGAGCTTTCATTGTGGTGCTCTAGAGTTTTCAATTGGACATTCCTCCTCTCATCTCCACAAAAGCCCACTTTCTCATGAGTATGCACAAACATTTAGGAAATGCAAGTTTTGATTTTCCTGAGAATAAGTAGTTGGCATCAACACAGAGAAAGAAGGTACTGCAGTACCATGTGAAAGAAACTGAATGAAGGAAAACACATATTTTTCATACGTTTTAAGAAAGGGAAGGCAGAAACTTAGTTTCCTGCCTAGGGAATTTCTGGAAAAGAATATAAAGAGTCAGAATCTGATTAGATCAAAAATGAGTAATGAAATAACTGGCAGGACTGAGCTTTACCACAGGCTAGCAGCAGGTAGCTTAGCATTCATAAAGAGAGCTTTTTATGAAATAGGTGCTGACACAATATGAACCTTAAGACTCCATTTCACAGCAACATTGTGTGCAAGGATAATTGGGAACAGAAAGTCAACTTAATATCTTTTTGTTTAGAAGAAAGGTCAGGGAAAGCCAGTGGTTAAAAATAGTCAGATACTTCATTTCTGCTTCTGTACGGACCACTGCTGCAAAAACTGGTATTTAAAGCTGCTTTTGTCTGTATTCCACATACCCTACCATCTAGTGTATGCACTGTAGGCTTTTTGTAATTAATGTATTGATGTATCATGAATGTCCAGTAGTGTTAAGACTTTGAAGTGTTGTCAGTCATGGCATTTTCAGCTAAAATTCCAACACATTTATTCCCAGAGATGCAGAACCAGTGCTCCTGCCTGATGCCTTATGAGTGCCCCAAGGAAGAGACACGCTCTCACTGCATCCAAATGGAATCAACAGGGAGGAGGAGGATGGTCAGTTATTGCATGCTGGCAGCCATGAAGTGCGCTGGGACCAAACTGGAGGTGCTGGAGCCGGGGAGCTGCCTGGAATAGCACATCAGCTCTCCTGGCAGCCACAACAATCACCCCACCGTGCACAGGCCAAGCTATCCTGGGAAAAACCTGGCTGGTTACGAAAAGACATGTAGATCGAAAAAAACCATGGAAAAAAATAATAGAAGTCTCTTAACATTTTTTAGGGGAAGCGTGTCAATGGGGTTTTTTTGGTCTAAAAATGGCCTAGGGTGTGGGCCATAGAGACTGTTCTCACTGCTAATAGCTGTGAACGTGCAGAGCGATGGAGGGGAAGGGATGGGAAGGGGGAAAGAAGAGCATTTCCTCTAATCTCTGCTTGTGTTGGATGAGACTTTTCCTCTCCTCAGTCATTTGTTGCTTTGTCCCTGCGCTTGTGACTGCTGTACACCCTGGTTGTCACGCTGGCTGAGTACCTGCTCTATCATCCAGGCAGGCAGACCAGGCACTTCAGCATCATTGCACATTCCTTCCAACACATAACAAGGACATGAAGGAGCTTACCTGTAAGGGCACTCATGGTACAAATTCAGTGAGCAATGGAAATTACTGAAAATTACAGGCATGCAATGACTCAGCGAAGTCCTCAAAACCATGTGATTTTTAAACAGAGAAACTGGAAGGAGGAAGTGCTTGCTTTCTGGGTTATTTTTGCTGATTTTGAGCCTTAGAGAGCAGTAGGGAATTTTTATGGTAGCCCTCCAAGTGAAGTAAACACATGTTTGTGCTTTAATGTAAAAGAAAATGTCAATGAACCCTGCATTAGGCATAGCTGTATTGCAGTATGAAGTTCTTCATGGAGTCTACAAAAATGCACATGAGTGAATTTCTTATATATACACTTGCACCAGCACCAATCCTGAGAGCAATTTCATGGGTCATCTCAATCTGGCCATGGGTCCATCCCCCAGCCTAGCTCTGCTCCTCAGAGGTGACCCCTGAGTTTCGGCCTTTGCACACTGCTATTCCAGGACTCCTACAAGGCAATGCTGAGGCTGTTTCTTACCACCAAGGGAAACATCACTCCCTTGCAAGGAGTTTTCCTCCAGTATTTCTGTTTCCAGCCAGTTTAACCCCTTCTTGTAGCTGGGCCTCCTTGCCCTCTGTGCCAGATCATTCCTTGGTCACACATTACCATTGCTGGGCAGTTATAATGAGAATTTCCACTTCAGCATTCAGAATTTTGCTAAACTGAAAATCAGAAACCTGCCTTCCAAGAAGAAGAAAGCTGAAAGTTACCTTTTTTCATCAGGAGTCAACAGAACAATGTAATTCAGGGAAAAAAAGCATGACAAATGTCTGTTAGTGAATAACCTGTCCTATATATGTGTGACACTTCGCCAGGGACTGGGCAGAGTCCTTTGGAAAATGAGAGTGGGCTGGATGTGAAATGTCTGTTTTCCCTTGAAGGAGGTATCACACCCCTGTATTTGAAATGTTGACAAGCTCCCTAAAGCAGCAACTAGTCTCAACTGGATGGAGCTCAGCGTGAAGAAGCAATTGATCCTGCTGCTAAAGGCAATAAAGCTTTATGTTTTCTTCCTTAAAATGTGTAGTAAAAAATATTATTTTTTAAAAAATGAGATAAATTTGCCTTTGTAGTTCTATAGCTCTTTTCTACGTATGAATATATATGTTAATGTACTGGTAATGGTCTAGGAGAGGATTGCAAATTTGATTGTCCCTGGATTGGTTTATAGTTGTCGTGGGTTAGGGCTGGGCCGGC